TGGAATGTTGTAGAGCATATATTATGTTACTTGAAGGGGACACCAGGACGAGGTATTGTTTATCAAAATCATAATCACATGAGAATAGAATGCTTTGCAGATGCTGATTGGGCTGGATCTAAAGATGATAGAAGATCCACATCTGGCTATTGCGTCTTTGTTGGTGGTAATCTCGTTTCTTGGAAAAGTAAGAAGCAGAATGTGGTTTCTCGTTCGAGTCCTGAATCAGAATATCGGGCTATGGCACAATCGACATGTGAGATAATCTGGATAAACCATTTATTGAGTGAAATCGGATTGAAGACACCAATGTCTGCTAAACTCTGGTGTGATAACCAAGCTGCTATACACATTGCCAACAACCCAGTGTTTCATGAGAGAACAAAACATATTGAGGTCGATTGTCACTTTGTTCGAGAAAAAATACAACAATGATTGATCTCTACAGGATATGTGAAAACTGGAGAGCAACTTGGAGATTTGTTCACTAAAGCACTAAATGGAATTCGTGTTGGTTATTTATGAAACAAGTTGGGCATGATAAATATCTATGCTCCAACTTGAGGGGGAGTGTGAAAGACATTAGAATAGAATATACTTTATAATATGCTTTAGAATATTCTTCTATCTTTAGAATATGCTTTAGAATATTTTAGGAATATACTCTAGGATATTATTATTGTATAGAATCTTATAGGAATATTCTATCTTTGTAATGTATATATATAGGGACTTAACCCTCCAATGAAAGACACAGAAAATCCTTCTCTCCATTCTTAATATCATTGTAGTTTATATTTCAACAAGATCTTGCAGTGAAAGAATCATAAGCGGTTAGGGTGTGAGCTCTTTTGGATTTAATCCCAACATTAATGCCTTGCATAATCTGATGAATTTCATCTCATAAGTCCTTAGCAGTGCTGAGACTATCAATTTGCATAACAGGTCATTGGGGATGGCTTGGAGCATATATGTGGCAGCTAGAAGATGAGCTTTTGCTCTGAGTTTTTCGGGTTCAGTGTAGTCTTCTTCACTCTTCAGATTCATTTGAGCAGGTGTGGGAGGGTTAAATGTAGTGTTCTCAGGAACTACAACCCAGATCTCGATGGGTCCTTCTTCCAGAGACTTGAGAATAATCTTTCCGTTTTCCCTGCTTCTGATGAAGTTCAAGAATCTGACTTTCCAAACCGCAAATTCTCCTCTCCTAAGCAGAGGAGGTCTGGAGTCACTTCCAAGAGTATAAGCTTCCATGACTGTTGTTGATCGTTAAAGGCGAGAACTGTAAAAAGATTGAAGGCAGAAAAGGTTTTCGAAGAGGAACTCGGGTAAGCTGCAAATTTCGGACCTTCGAAATTACAAATCTCGGGTCTGATTCCGAAATAGCTGATCTCGGGTGTCCTTTGAAATTTGGATTTCGGAAGAGAATCTTGGGCTGTCTTCGAAGTTTAAATCTCGGAAGAAGATTTCGTACTATCAAAAACACAATCTCAGGTGTGATAAATTGAAGATTTTCGGCTAGCGAAATTGAGGATCTCGGGTGTGCAGCCTAACTGGATTTCGGACCTCCTTAAAATTTTGGATATGCGAAATCTTAAAGATTTCGAATGAGTGAGAATATGGTAACACAAATTGTACTGGGATTCTTCTTTCGTAGCTTTCCGAGTTTCATCAGCTTTCTAAAACAACAAGTTTCCAAGAACGGATCTAAAAATTAATCTGATCAAAAATTGTGATTTTGATCAAATTAATTCCAGAAATATTCGAGGATTCTCAAGAACAATATTGCGCCGTGGCTCTGATACCAATTGTGTGAACTATGCCCAGATTTCAACAGTCGAATATTCTAATAATAATAGAAATAATTAAAACAGTAGAAGAGAAATTTCACCAATAACTTATACAGATGGATGATGAATCCATGATGAACAATTACACAGTACTCGAATGAATAAGCTAGAGAGAGAATTTCTACTCTACCTGCTCTTCTAGAATAATATGCGGAATAGAATGTGTAGAGACTTAGAGCTGATTTCGACCAACTCCTTCTGTTTTTGTAGGGAGTAGTTCGACCAGCCCTATTAGAATTAGGAAACAACAACTTTAGGCGTGTGGGCTTAATTAGCACTAATAATTGGGCATAATTCTCTCTCAGCTAATCTATTTAAATACAAAGACTCATTAAATAAAATACAATTAATTTGAACACAATAAATAATATTCTAACATGAACATCACAAGAAGTGCAACATTTTATGACAGAAAGGTGCAATGATATAACAAGAAGTGCAATAATGTACGTAAAAAGTGCAATGACATGACAAGAAGCGCATTAACAATGACATGAAAAAATATCTATAAATTCGTAACATTTTATGTAATGTTGTGCCATAACTCCACCATGAAGTGCATTATATTTAGTAGATGTAAAAACTAAAGTTATCAAATCTAAAAAACGATAAACTCATAACATTTTTGTTATGTCATGCAGTGAACGCCGACATATAGGGATGGACTCGGGCCAAGTCAATCGGCCAGTAATCGGCCCGACCCGGTACCTGGGTTCATAGCCGATTTTGGCCACCCGGCCCGGTACTGTTCAGGGGCGGGCTCCGGATCTCAAAAATCATGAACCAGCCCGGCCGGGCCGGGCCCGGTTCGGGCCATTTTTTTTTGTTTTTCAAAATTTTATTGGTCTGGGTATTTTGGAGGGGTTTGGGGTGTGGGGGGTGGGGGTGGTAAGTAATTAGAAAATAAAACAAATAGGGTACCCGGCCCGAACCGGGCTTGATAGCTACCCAGGCTGGTTTCGGGCCTCAAGATTCCAAAAAAAGCCCAGTCGGGCCCGACCCGAGGCCCGATCCGGACCGGCCCGAGTTCATGCCTACCGGCATAAAGTGCAATAAATGTCATGCAATAACGTCTTCGTAAAGTGCAATCTTTTTACTCGGACGAAAGTAGTGCAAAATGCACATTTTTGAAATAATGGTATTTTTGTCTTTCCACATTTTAATATAACGATTTTTTCTTCTTCTTTTCGATTGTAGTCATATTTCGTGAAAAAACAAAATTAGTCATATTTCAAAAAACTTAATACTCCCTCCGTCCCAAAATGATAGTCCTGTATTTCCTTTTTGGGATGTCCCAGAATGATGGTCTTGTTTCCCTTTTTGGAAAAAAAGATGTGTTCCATATCATTTCACTTTATTATACTCAAATCTCAACCACAACTTTTACCTTTTCAACCACTTTACTAAAACTTGTGCCTAAAAGAAATGACATTATCAAATTGGGACGGAGGAAGTATATTTTAGTCATATCATGAAAATTTTCCCTGACCTAAATCATTATTTCCCTATCATTTCATATGCAATGTTCCCGTACGTTGGTGTAAACATGTTTACATGGAGTATTACATACTTACATGCTTTGCATGTCCCTTGCACATGTCTCCTCTTCTTTCACACTTAGTTACTACTCCTTCGTCCATCCTTTCCCTCCGTCTCGCAATTAAGTTACCACTTTCCTTTTTGGGCAGTCTCTAAATTAAGTTCACACTTCCTTACTTTTCTGATTTGGCAAATTATCTACATCAAAATAGTGTCAAACAGTGCAAAATAGTGTCCAAACAGTGCAAAACAGTGTCCAAACAGTGCAAAACGTTGCACTCCACAGTGAAGTCAAATTTATTTTCTTAATATGTGTGAAGTCAAACCGCGAACTTAATTGGGGGACGGAGGAGGGAGTATTTTATATTATTATTGTATATGTTATGGACTAGCCAAAGGAGTTATTTTCTTTCACACTACCTACGTCCCCGAAAAGGTTCGATATATTGACTTTTCTTGATCAATGATGACGAAGTTTGGTTAATGATTTTAATTATTATATTTGTATATAATTTGTAAATTTTACACTTTTATGAAAATACTTTGAATAAGGAACATTTTGATATAATTTTCATATTCAAACTAATTTCGTATTAAAAAATATCATTAGTCAAATTTGATTGTCATTGACTAAAAAAAGTCAATTTGACGAATACTTTTAGGACGGAGAGAGTATAAGGTTTCACATATAGTTTCAATGGCTCCTTTCTTTTTAATATAGTCCTTGATTTTGATAGTACACATTTAAGTATAGTTCATTAGGTAATCACACCATACAAATTATTACCTGTGTTTAATAAACCGAACCGGACCGGTCGGATCGGCCCGAAAATCAACGAATCGACCCTTTTCCCGGTCCGATTACCAACTAAGAAAAGTCAATTTGATGAATATTTTATAAGGTTCATATATAATTTCAATGGCTCCTTTCTTTTAGATATAGCCCTTCATTTTGACAGTACAAATTTAAGTATAGTTTATTAGGTAATCACACCATACAGATTATTATTTATTACTATTATGCGCAAAAAATCTTGCTAAAAATACTCTTGTACTTTAACATGTGTACCTATTCGCAAGAACGAACTCCGTACACGTTTGTATTTACTATTTTACTACATTCGTAACATTCATATCTTCTCATTTAAAAGTATGTGAGATTATGAATAGTAAAAGGAGATAAAAATATTGAGGGTGTATGATGTGAAGATAATGAAATAATTTGTTGAAATAAAGGATAAATTCCAAAAAGTAGTTTTAATAGTGTATTATTTTCAAAATTATTTAGGGTATGATGAGAAGATTTAAAAATGATAAAATATGAATGTTACGGTTGACAAAAGAAAATGAAAATATATGAATGTTACGGAAGGAGTATAATTTAGTTGTGAACATAATTTTATCCGCTCCTTTTAGGGGAATTGAGTATTTTTGTCATATGAATAAATATCATTTGGTATAAAAACATCATTTATGTTATAAGTCATGATCAACTTTGTTATTATAAAAATGTTACTCACTTTTATAACCTGATTAATAAATTTAATTATTTCATTTTAATTTAATTTTTCAATGTCATAAGATATTGGTACACTTTGTCTACCAAATGTATATAAATAAGTAGGAAATATTATCCCCCCTGTTTCAAAAGAGAAACCCTTAAACGTACTTTGATTCGATTCCCTCATTTTGCAGAGCCGAGAGAGATGGTGGTTACCAAAGAGAAGGTCGAATCTTTGCTTACTGCTAAACTTGTTCCTTCACATCTGGTAAGTTCTCTCATTTTGCTTTACGTTTATACAGATATGTAGGCACGCACTTCAAGCTATCACCCAGCACGCGTATCACTCACGATTCACGAACTAACATGGAGTAATGTGTGCCCTAACAATGTTATAAGCTGCAGAACACATCGAATTTGTAGGAAAACAGCTCTGAAATTTGTAAGAAAAATACCATGTTAATGGATAATGGGAAGAAAATTGAAGGACTTCAAGGTCTGAATCAAATAAGATACGGAGTATCTTATATGTCTAAGTTTCTTATCATCCCACCTAGCAACAATATTTAACAAGTATGAAGTTTTAGATAAAATGAAGGTCAATATATTACAATCAATTGACATAGATTTATATTCTAAATCATCAATTCACGTGAGAGTCTTCTTAGACAAAGTTTTCCTATGAATCTGATAGATTCAAGTCCGGTCAAGCAATTACTAACTTTGAAGTCACCTATGTTGTATCATACCCGTTATAGATTTATCCATTTTAGGTTGCAATATCCACTTTGATGATAAAATTTATCCATTGATAATTGCCAAGGAACAACTGCTGCAACCTAGTTAGGTGAAGATGAAATCTTGGTAGATGAAATCCAAGATGAAATAAATAGTTTCATTTTGGAAAAACTAGACAAAAATGTAGACGAATCATGCTAAATGATCTTAAAGGACATGATGTGTAATAATGTGTAAGTTTGGGAGAATAGAATTGATTGATTCATTCCATCACTCGATTACAATATATATATATAGAATACAAGTCTAACAGTCTAACTGATGAGATCCTAAAAAATAGGATCTGACTACCTAACTATACTTATCTAATACGTGTGAGTAAATACATCAGATAAGGCTAAGTATTTTATCTACAACTAATCCAACTGTACATTTTTACACTCCCCCTCAAGTCGGTGAATATATATCATACATTCCCAACTTGCTTACTAGTAGGTCAAACACTGGTTTGAACAATCCTTTCGTTAGAATATCAGCAGTTTGATCCTTGGTAGGCACAAATGGTGTACACACAGTTTCAGCTTCAATGTTCTCTTTGATAAAGTGTTTGTCCACTTCAATGTGCTTTGTTCTGTCATGTAGGACTGGATTGTGTGCAATGCTAATAGCTGCCTTGTTGTCACAATATAGTCTCATAGGTAACTCCAATTCCATATTTAGTTCTTTGATCACTCTCTTGATCCAAAGAAGTTCACATATACCATCGGCCATTGATCTGAATTCTGCTTCTGCACTGCTTCTAGCTACCACATTCTGTTTCTTACTTCTCCAAGTCACTAGGTTTCCCCATACATAAGTGCAGTAGCCTGAAGTAGATCTTCTATCACTCACTTATCCTGCATAATCAGCATCTGTAAAGGCCTCTACTGCCCTACTATGGTTCTTTTTGAAGAACAATCCTTTTCAGGACAACTTTTCAAATACCTAAGAATTCTGTAAACTGCCTCAAGATGTTCTTTATATGGACAGTGCATAAACCGACTTACCATGTTAACTGCAAAAGCAATATCAGGTCTGGTATGTGCTGAGTAGATAAGTCTTCCTACCAATCTCTGATATTGTTGCACATTGAGTAGAACCCCATCTCTGACATCTCCTAACATCTGATTTGGATCTACAGGAGTGTCAGCTGGTTTACATGCACTCATCCCTGTTTCTTGAAGAAGATTTAAAACATACTTTCTTTGAGATACCAGAATTCCCTTTTTTGATCTAGCTATTTCCATGCCAAGAAAGTATTTCAACTCTCCCAGATCTTTCACCTCAAATTCAGTAGCAAGTTTTCTCTTCAGATTTTGTGTTTCTGCATAAAAGTCTCCTGTAATGATAATATCATCTACATAGACAATTAATATAGCAATCTCCCTCTTACTTGAGCATTTTATGAATAAAGTATGATCATCTTGGGCCTGTTTATATCCTTGTTTTTTAACAAACTGTGTGAACCTATCAAACCAAGCCCTTGGGGACTGTTTGAGTCCATACAGAGATTTTTCCAGTTTACATACTCTTGAACCAAACCTGCTTTCAAACCCAGGAGGAGGATTCATGTAAACTTCCTCCTCAAGTTTTCCATTTAGAAAAGCATTCTTCACATCTAATTGTTGAAGAGGCCAATCTAAATTTACAGCAATAGATAGAAGAATTCTGATAGTATTCAACTTTGCAACTGGTGCAAAGGTTTCAGTGTAGTCTATGTCATAAGTCTGAGTATAACCTTTGGCAACTAACCTTGCCTTATGTCTTTCAAGAGTGCCATCTGCCTTGAACATAGGAGTAAAAATCCATCTACATCCAACTGTGGGCTTGTTTTTTGGTAGCTCTACAACCTTCCATGTCTGATTCTTTTCAAGAGCATCCATCTCTTCCAAAACAGCTTTTTTCCACTCAGGTTTAGATAGAGCTTCCTGTATGATTGATGGGATAGAAATAGAGGAGACAATAGAAGAAAAGGTTGCAAATGTAGAGGATAATCTAGAATAAGAAACATGGTTTGAAATATGATATTTGACACATGACCTTCTTTCTTTTCTGAGAGCTATAGGTAAATCAAGATCAGTTGAGTCATTACCTTTTTCATTTACTGTCATCAGGTCAGATTCATCAACAGATGTAGGTTCAGAGACTTCCTCTTCTCTTTGATTTGGAGCCTTTCTCTCATAAACCTTGCCAAAGAACTTACTGATCTGCAGCTCTTCTTTTCCCATTTTACATACTCTTGAACCAAACCTGCTTTCAAACCCAGGAGGAGGATTCATGTAAACTTCCTCCTCAAGTTTTCCATTTAGAAAAGCATTCTTCACATCTAATTGTTGAAGAGGCCAATCTAAATTTACAGCAATAGATAGAAGAATTCTGATAGTATTCAACTTTGCAACTGGTGCAAAGGTTTCAGTGTAGTCTATGCCATAAGTCTGAGTATAACCTTTGGCAACTAACCTTGCCTTATGTCTTTCAAGAGTGCCATCTGCCTTGAACATAGGAGTAAAAATCCGTCTACATCCAACTGTGGGCTTGTTTTTTGGTAGCTCTACAACCTTCCATGTCTGATTCTTTTCAAGAGCATCCATCTCTTCCAAAACAGCTTTTTTCCACTCAGGTTTAGATAGAGCTTCCTGTATGGTTGATGGGATAGAAATAGAGGAGACAATAGAAGAAAAGGTTGCAAATGTAGAGGATAATCTAGAATAAGAAACATGGTTTGAAATAGGATATTTGACACATGACCTTCTTTCTTTTCTGAGAGCTATAGGTAAATCAAGATCAGTTGAGTCATTACCTTTTTCATTTACTGTCATCAGGTCAGATTCATCAACAGATGTAGGTTCAGAGACTTCCTCTTCTCTTTGATTTGGAGCCTTTCTCTCATAAACCTTGCCAAAGAACTTACTGATCTGCAGCTCTTCTTTTCCCATTTTATCAGTTGTATTTATTTTATTATTTTCTGAAGTTTGACCATTTTCTAATGCATCTAAATTTCCAATAGAATGCATATCTAGATTAATGTCAAGAAAATCAAGATTGTCATGACTATGTAACACATTGTTAGCATCTTCATTTGAACTCTCCCCCTGAAGATGAGTATCAAAAAATACTTGATTTTCAACAAAGACAGTGTCCATTGAAATAAACATCTTTTTTGTTGAAGTATCAAAGCATTTATACCCTTTCTGTGTGGATGAAATACCTAGAAAGACACACTTAGTTTCTCTAGGATCAAATTTACTTGCAGTTTTGCCTGGATTTTTAATAAACACAGTGCAACCAAAAATTTTTAAAGGAAGAGTGCTAATCAATCTAGTAGTAGGGTAACATTCTTGAAGAATACTAATTGGAGTTTTAAACCCTAAAACTTTTGATGGCATCCTATTTATTAAATAGGTAGCATGTAAAACAGCATCTCCCCATAAATATTTTGGAACTTTCATTGAAAACATGATTGCACGTGTAACTTCAAGCAAATGCCTATTTTTCCTCTCAGCAATTCCATTTTGAGCAGGAGTATTAATGCAAGAACTTTGATGAATTATTCCCTTTTCTGTAAAAAATTGATTCAGATTTGTAGAAAAGTATTCACGGCCATTATCACTTCTTACCATTTTGATATTGGTATTGAATTGAGTTTGGACCATTGCATAAAACTGCTTAAATATATATTCTATTTCAGATTTTTCCTTGATTAAGAATACCCATGTCATTCTTGTATGATCATCAATAATTGTTACAAACCATCTCTTTCCTTTTATGGTAGGGACTCTAGATGCTCCCCAAATATCACTATGCACAAGAGTAAAAGGACTGGTAGGTTTGTAACTGTGGGGAAGATATGCATTTTTATGATGCTTTGCAAGTGCACACATATCACAATAAAACTGTGAAACATTTTTATTATGAAATAATTGAGGAAATAACTTTATTAAATAATGGAAACTAGGATGACCTAGTCTATAATGAATTAAATACAACTCATTATTACTGGGAAAAGTAATAGTTTGCAGACAAGTATTTCTTTGACCTTGTTTATTTGATTCAGTCCCTTTATAAAAAATATAGAGTCCATCTTCTTCCCTAGCACTGCCAATCATCTTCCCCGATGCCAGATCCTGAAAAATGCAATATGAAGGATAAAATTTAACACAACATTGGAGATCTTTGGTTAATTTGCTAACAGAAACAAGGTTGCAGGATAGGTTTGGGACATGTAAGACTTTAGAAAGATCAATAGAAGTGGAAACTTTAACATTTCCAGTTCCTGCAATGGCTGAAAGAGAGCCATCTGCAACTTTAATTTTCTTATCCCCTGCACAGGGTTTATAAGAAGAATATAGATTGGAAATGGAGGTCATGTGGTCTGTTGCACTTGAGTCAATGACCCAGGTGGTATTTGGTTTTCCAGAACAGAAAAATGATGCAATTTTACCATTCTGAGCAAAAGAACAAGAAGGGTTTTCTGATGTAGGGTTCTTTTGGGTATTGAGAAATTGTAGGATTTGCTCTATCTGATCCTTGGTGAAAATTGGCTGCTTGAAATTGACTTGTTGCTCTTGATCAGTTTCAGGTGTGGTAGTATGTAGGGCCCTTTCAACCTTTTTTTGTCCTGCTCCAGGTGGTTTGCCATGAATCTTCCAACAAGTTTTCCTAGTATGCCACAACTTCTTGTCATAATCACACCAAGGCTTCTTCTTCTCATTTCCTTTGGCAATCATTGCTGAGGACTCTCCAGGTTCATCATGATGGACTGGAGTGTTATTCATAACCTTTTTTCTACTATCTTCCACCCTGATTTCAGAAAATACCTCCCTGATTGAAGGTAGAGGTTTTTTTCCAAGCATTCTTCCCTTAACTTCATACAGATCTCTATTAATTCCTGCTAGGAACATATAGACCCTGTCATTTTCCTCCCTCTTCTTGTGTCTTGCCAGATCCTTGGCACTTTCCCAGTCTTCAGCATCATAGCGTTGGTCCAACTCTTGCCATAGAGATACCATCTCATTATAGTATGAGATGACATCTCTACTTCCTTGTTTGGACTGCCACAACCTTGTTTTTAATTCATAAATCTGAGAAGAGTTCTCAAGATCTGAATAGGTTTCTTTAATTGAATCTCATACCTCTTTTTCAGTTTTCATGAACATGTGAGGTTTGGCGATTGATGGATCCATTGAACTGAGAAGCCAGACTATTACCAAAGAGTTTTCTGACCTCCAGACGCTGTAGCCATCATCACCACTCTTCTTCTCCTCTACTTCACCCGTTATGTATCCCAACTTTCCTCTTCCATCTATTGCCAGCTTGACAGACTGTGACCATTCTAGATAATTGGTTCCATTCAATCTATGTCCAGTAATGAGCATAGATGAATTAACCGAGGCCTGGTAGTTTGTCATTTGGCTAATTTGGGAGTTAGGGTGATGGGTTTGTGAGTGGGGGGAAGAATCAGAGTTGTCGGTTTCCACCATTGTGGTGTTTAAACAACCTGCTCTGATACCATGTAAGTTTGGGAGAATAGAATTGATTGATTCATTCCATCACTCGGTTACAATATATATAGAATACAAGTCTAACAGTCTAACTGATGAGATCCTAAAAAATAGGATCTGACTACCTAACTATACTTATCTAATACGTGTGAGTAAATACATCGGATAAGGCTAAGTATTTTATCTACAACTAATCCGACTGTACATTTTTACATAATGAATTGAATGTATAAATTAGGACCTCTTTGGTTTTATTTCTGAAGATCAATTTTTAGTAACTGACTTTAAGCAAATAAACCAAAAACGTAATAAACAATTTACAACCAACTATATTTGAAAATTCGTGGACTATAGTTAAACATCCACTATGTCATTGAAATCAGCATACCTGGAAGGTTGGAAACTTGGAATTGGAATTAAGTAATTAACTGAGAACAAACAATGGGTGGAAATAGAACAACAGAGGAATAATAAAGATGAAATTTTGGCCATGAAATAAAACTTTACCTTGGGTAATGTTTTATTTAAACGGAATTGTTTGTTAGAATTAAATAAACAACTACTCTTGATTATTTATTATGTTGTAGATCAAATCTTCACATATAGATCAAATGTATTACCCAATATAGCTTTAGCTGTACAAAATAGCCTTAATATGGTACAAGAGTACCTGTTGTTTTCAAGACTACTAGATATTTAGATTTTTCTCTGCCAAATTCCAACCATAAGGCAACTGACTTTTAGATGTGGATTACGTTTACATTATTCTTTAGCTTCATATCAGCCAAAATTTAGCTCCTAGTCTGCCACCGTAGACAGTTAAACCTGTTATTCTCATGGTTAAACACAGAACTGGAACTGAACAGATGGTCCCAGATCGCATCTATGTTGCGGTTAATTTTCCGGTTCCGTTTAACCGAAAATTGGTTACAGCCTTACAGGTCTACATTAGTAATTGCAGCCTGCGAGTAGGCTTGAAACTTGAAAAAAGTGTGATTACATCTTTCTTTCAATGTGAGCAACCTGTTTGGATCAGAAATTATTTTTAATGCTGTCATTCTTTTCTTTTCAGGCAGTAACTGACATATCTGGAGGGTAAGTGTGTGCCTGTAAACAACATCTTACTTTGTTGTGTTTGTGTTTTTAATCCGTAGCTGGCTGACATATTATTATTCTTGATAAAGATGTGGTGCAAGCTTCGAAGTTGAGATTGTTTCATCAAAGTTTGAAGGCAAAAGGTTGCTGGAGAGGCATCGAATGGTTAATGATGCACTCAAGGAAGTGTTGGGAGACATCCATGCTCTCTCCATAACCAAAGCTCAGAAGCCTGATTCACCCACACCGCCAATCAAACCCCAACAAGAAGCTCAGAAGCCTGATTCACCCAAACTGCCTATCAACCCCGAGCGAGAAGCTCAGAAGCCTGATTCAGCCAATCCGCCCAAACCTCAGCAAGAAGCTCAGAAGCCTGATTCACCCAAACCGCCAATCGAACCCCAGCAAGAAGCTCAGAAGACTGATTCACCTACACCGCCAATCAAGCCCCAGCGAGAAGCTCAGAAGTCTGATTCATCCAAACCGCCAATAGAAGCCCAGCAAGAAGCTCAGAAGACTGATTCACCCCAGTGATAAATAAGCTCAGGAGCCTGATTCATCCAAACCGCCAGTCAAATCCTAGTGAGAAGCTGAGAAGCTTGATGCCCTCACCTATCAAACCATAAAACCTCTAGTCTGTTTCTTTTGGATGTTAAATTCTCATATGTATATTTTTAACCAAAAAACAACACTCCATATTTATGATAGTTGAAATTAAAATCCTGAAGCTGTTTACATTGTAGAAAAAACCTAAGGTAAGCCTAATATCTCGAAGTAATAAGATACTTTCATGTTTAATAATAATAATAATGAACTTTTACTAATCACAGCTCTATCAAATTGATCTTCTCCATAAGAACTCAAATACGCTAGTTGATCCCATTCTGATATGCTACTATATTATTCCAAAATGACCACACAAATGTCTGAATTGCTATGTACGTGTATTTGATTTACCTTAGTGCACCGGTAAAACTTTAAAGGAGGTTGGTTATGTGATGAGGTTGGCTCTAGGGTTGGATTCGGTTCGGGCCACCCGGCCTGGCCCGGTACTGTGCGGGCCTGGGACCGGCCCGGTCGGGCGGTCCGGGACTGGGTCTGGGCCCGAACCGGGGGGAAGGGGCGGGGCGGGCTCGGTTCAGCATTTTTGTGACCCGGCCTGGCCGGGTCGGGCCCGGGCTCGGGTCCGGTTCAATTTAAAAATAAAAAAAAAAAAAATTTGGGCTCCTACTAGCCGTTGTGGGTGGGGCTGGGGACAACCCAAACGGCTATATAGCCGTTGGGTGGGGTAAAGGGGGGGGGTCCGGGGGGGGTTTGGTGGTGGGGGGGGGTGGGGGGGTGGGGGGTAAAAAAACCTATAAATACTCCTAATCTTAAACATTTTTTACACTTGTTTAATTAGTTTAAAAAATATGTTGTACACAAAACTAGTTAATTCACTACTTAATTTGCTATAACTCGAATTAATAGTTAGATAAATAGTTAATTAGTTTTTTACAATTTTTTATTAATTGCTACATTTGACTCTAGTTTAAAAAATATGTTGTACACAAAACTAGTTAATTCACTACTTAATTTGCTATAACTCGAATTAATAGTTAGATAAATAGTTAATTAGTTTTTTACAATTTTTTATTAATTGCTACATTTGACTCTAGTTTAAAAAATATGTTGTACACAAAACTAGTTAATTCACTACTTAATTTGCTATAACTCGAATTAATAGTTAGATAAATAGTTAATTAGTTTTTTACAATTTTTTATTAATCGCTACATTTTTTAGATGAATCGTCCTAGATATTCGGTTGATATGGGTAACCTCGAGCGCAACCGAACGAACGAGCTTGCGAGGAAGAGATCCCGCAAAGGTAAATCAAATATCGGCTCTTCATCTCAAAGTCAAGATGATTTTGATACGGGTTACGTAAGGAGGGATGGGGATGCGATGACCGACGAACAACTAGAACAATTATAGTTCCTATTTAATTTTCAAATGTAGTTCATATTTCATTTCAAATAAATGCACTTGAAGTTTGTTTTTTAATACTTGTATAAAACTATAAAGTATAAAATATAAATTAAAAAAAAAATTACCCGGCCCGGCGGGTGGCCCGACCCGTGACCCGGGCGGGTGGCCCGGCCCGAACCGGACCCGTCCAACCCTCGGTCCGGTCCCGGGCCCACTATTCTAGAACCGGCGGCCCGATCGGGCCCGACCCGGCCCGAATCCATCCCTAGTTGGCTCGATTGACATGAACTCTGTTTTGCTAACTCATTCTTGTTGCGTGATTTAACTCTTTTTTTCAAATGTAGGTGAGCCGAATCTGTATTCTAAAGGGAATCTTAACTTTGGACGCAACATCTTAGTTATGGACTTATGGGATGGCATGCATTCAAATTTCCCCCCATTTGAGTTATGCTACCTGTGCTGGCTCATGTCATCAGAAGTAGTTTGAGGTTTGAGGACTATATAAAGTATGTCCTAACTTGCGGGTTCATGTAGGTACAACCAGTGTTCTCAAAGACGACAGGCGCTAGTGAGGCGTCAGCCCAGCGCCTAGGCGTCTACAGACACACACATTAACATGCATGAATGATAGAATTGTTCACAACAAACAACAACAACAAAATTCAAGCCTTGATTCCAAAAGAATTTGGTGTCGGCTAACATGAATTGATCCATGATATCCGTGCAAAAACGAGAAAAAAGATAAAGTAAAAAAAGTAAGACAAAATGAATAAGATAAAAATAAATATAAGATAACAATAACATAAGAATATAAGAAAGATAAAAAAATAAAAAGATAAAAGAGCATTAAAAGATAGAAGATAAAAATAACACAAGAACAAAAACAGATTATGAAAAAAAAAGAGAAAAAAATAGAAAAGAGATCATTCGTCACACAAATGTTCGTCTTCCACTTTACTCTCTCCAAAGCCATATCTCATCCAACCTAAGAAGACGCATATCGGTTTCGATTCCTCTAATCCAAGTCTGTTTGGGCCTTCCTCTCTCTCTCTCTCTCTCTCTCCTCTCTGACTCTTCTCCCCACCTCTCAAGTCGTCTAACAGGTGCATCACTCGGTCTTCTATGCACATGACCAAACCATCACAAACGAGACTCCTTCGTCTTATCTTCTATAGGTGCTACTCCCACTTTTTGTCTGATTGTCTCATTCCTCAAGCGGTCTTCTTTGGTATGTCCATGCATCCAACGCAACATACGCATCTTTGTCAGACTCATCTTTTGAATGTGACATTGTTTCACCGCTCAACACTCCACGCCATACATTAATGCAGACCTAATTGATGTTCGATAAAATTTAGCCCTTAATCTAGTCGGCATACTTTGATCGCGTAGAAATCCTGATGCACTCTTCCTTTTCATCCACCCAGCTCTGATTCTATGGGATACATCTCCAACTAATTCATCATCCTTCTCAATTATGGAACCCATGTAACGAAACATATCACACACCGGTATCTCCTTACCATCAAGAGTAATCCCACTATTACTACAACTTTTACCTCCACCAAACTTGCACTCAATATACTCAGTCTTGCTCCGCCTAGTTTGAAACTCTTGGTCTCCAATATTTACCGCCATACTTCTAACTTTGCTTTAACACGCGATTGCGTCTCATCAATCAATACAATATCGTCAGGAAACAGCATGCACCACGGTATATCTTCTTGTATTGACTTTGTAAGTTCATCCATGACTATAACCAATAAGAGAGGACTCGGAGCCGATCCTTGGTGCATTTCGATAGTAATAGGGAATTCAGCGGTCCTCCCTACACCAGTACAGACACTTGTAGTACAAGCCTCATACATATCCATGATGATACTTACATGATATGTATTTTCTAGTTAAGGCCCACCAAAGTACTTCTCGAGGTACCCTATCATATGTCTTTTCTAAGTCAATGAAAACCAAATGCAAATTCTTTTTAGTATCTCTATACTTCTCCACAACTTCTCCCAAAGTTTCGTGGCATGACTCATAAGCTTAATCCATTGATAATTGGCACATTCTTGTACATCACCCTTGTTTTTAAATAGTGGAAAGAGAGTAATCTTTCGCCAACTCACTGACATTTTGTTGTTTCTCCGAATCATGTTGAAGAAACGTGTTAGCCACTCACTGTCATTATCTCCCAAACTTCTCTGATCCCCGATCGATATGCCATCTAGGCCCACTGCTTTCTTCCTCCCATCTTGTTCAGAGCCTCTTTAATTTCTGTCATTTGGATTCTTCTCACAAAGTCCGGATTTATCATACACTCCGGTATAGTAAGATCATCAATATCTTGCACTTTATTCCCGTTGAACAAGGTATCAAACTATGACCTCCACCTCTTGATACGTTTGTAATTTCCATGTGTATGTTTGTGTTTTTAATTAGTTTTGTTTGATCTTTACTTTGGAAATTACACACTTTTGGTGTAATAGTTTAGTTTGTTAAATTCTTGTAAATAGTTTAGATTAGGTATATTCTGAGCTCAAACAGGTCTTGATCACTCAAAGGACAATTGGTGTACCCCAAAAGTGGAAGGAAGGTGCAAAAAATCAAGAAGAAAGAAGGATCCTAAAATTTTGGTCTATACTCGGTCGAGTATTACCTATACTCGATCGGGTATTAGGTTGAAACTTCAAATCGGATCAGATCCGAGGACAAGGGAACATGCCGGGAAGATTTCAGCCACGATTAAATGTCTATACCCGATCGGGTAGACCGACATACCCAATGGGGTATGCCTTTGACTTTTAAACAAAAATCGGTCGAGTATGGCTCGAATATCACTTTCTAAGCATACTCGACCGGGTATAAACATATACCCGATCGGGTATACCTTTGGAAAATAGCCTGAAACCGATCGAGTATACCTCGAATCGGGTATTACCCACAAACTCGATCGGGTACCATGTATATACCTGATCGAGTACCTGAATCTCATTCCAAAAGCCTATAAATACACCTCCTTTCCTTCACAAATGATCATCCAATTCTTTTGTACATCTAATCTCAGTATAGAATAGTTCTTTCTTTATATTTTTCATCATGTTTAGTCTCCAAATGAGGAGCTAAACTCTTCCATCTTGGTTTTGCTACTTTGAAGCTTAATGAATTTGTAAGTTGTGAGTTATTTTCTTTAATCTTCTTCCTTGAATATTAATTCTTCCTTTCAAATACTATTTCTATATCAAAGTTGGGGAGTGTTAATAAGATGACAATTAGTTAACATCTTGACATTGGTTATAGTAATAGCTATTTCTTCCTCTATGTTAATATTGGGGAGTGTTACTAAGATGACAATTAGTTAACATCTTAATATTAATCATAGTAGGATTCATATTCTTTAATATTCTTCCTTGAGTATTAATTAATTCATATTCATATTTCATGTTAATATTTTAAACATTACTTAAAGTATCAACTAGTTTTGTTTCTCATATTAATTATTACTAGAATCAATCGGTTAATACGCTTGTTATTAATCTGGATCTTTCAACGGTAGTAAACTTGGATTATTAATGCATGCATCTCATGGTTAATATGCTAAGGGGAATTAATTATATTGATTAAACCAATAAACCGCTTGTGTTGAGGTTATCAATCTCAATCGTTTTTATCTTAAGTTTATTGCTACTATCAAGTTAATATATGGCGCTTGTTCTATATTGACTCGATAGTAAGTTTTATTAATGAACGCATCTCGTTATTAATAACTACCCTTGATGAACTGGATATACTCCTCGATTGAGTATTCGAGAGGAAGATAGTTAAAGATATAACCGGGATCGACGAAAATTTCATTAAGTG